CTATGGGGTTGTTACTGTCTCTGAGATTGGTTTTTTTGTAGACGTTTTATTACCCAACTAGATAACATTATCGGTGCTAGATTAGCACTGATGATATTACCTAGTTGGGTCATGAAATGTTCAGAGAGCACCAGTGACCCCATAACATTCTCCTCTGCTCTGCAAATGCCACTCCCTTCTAGCACTGAAGATGTTCCCTGGTTGGGTCACGAAATGTCTGCAAGAAAACAGCCAAGCTCAGAGAACATCAGGGACCCCATAATCCTCCTCCTCTCTGCAAACCCTACTCCCTTCTAGCATTGAAGATATCCCCTAGTTGGGTCATGAAACATCTGCAAGAAAACCACCAAGCTCAGAGATCACCAAGGACCCCATAATCTTCCTCCTTTCCACAAAGGTCATTCCCTTCCAGCCCTGATGATGTTACCAAGTTTGGCAATGCAACATCTGCAAGACAAGCCAGCTCAGAAAGCACCAAGAGCCTCCCAGTTCAACCCGGAGCTACAAATATTCTCTCTTAACCCGGTGATCTGGGGGAAAACAAACAAACAAAAGTTTAAAGCAGAAAACAACCTCCAGAGAAACTAACTCCCAAGCCAAAGGTCTTCTGACTGGGAGATCAACAAGCATGATTTAAACCACCCATAATTATTTCTAGCTGCCAGACACTGGAGCCCCACTGGTCTTTTCAAAGAGGCTCAGCTCAATTACCAGAAAACCACAGGGAACGAGAAAGTTTTTTTTTTTTTAAACGCACCTTTCCTCCTTGAGCGGGGGGGGGGGGGGGGAGAAGATCCCTCAAAGCACAAAAGAGATCCTGAACACAAGCAAAAGACACGTGTTGGGACGCCCTGCAGCCCATGGTAAACCAGGATGCAAACTGGGATTAGCAGCCCCTCCAATGAAACCCAGTTACAACCACAACAACCCCACCACCTAGGAACGATGCAGCACTGCAGACCTCCCAGCCAGCCTCCCTTCGCCCTCCCTGCTCGCACAACGACAATATCACACTGCCAACATCACACTGCCAGCGAGTTGCAGCTTTCCCCCCCCCTCCCTCTCCATCCCGATGCCAGGATCCCAACGTTGCTGCAGGAGCCAAGACGCCCCTGAATCGGCCCTAGAGGAATGAATGAATGAATGAATGAATGAATGAATGGAGGGTGCAAATAAGGGGACCTCCAACCCCCCCACCATCCATACAGGGAGGACTCTCAGATTCTGAATGAAGACTCTCCATCACTCTGCAAAACAAGACACCCCCCCTACTCCAGATATCCAAATATTGCTGGTAGCATTAGCACCAGATCCTGCCCCCCATATGCCATCTAGCACGGGAGGCAGGAATCTAATGCTACTACCAATGTTTAGATATAGGGTGGGAGGGTGTCTTGGATTGGGGGTGGGGGGGGTCCTTTGGGGAGAATCCAGAATCCGAAGGTCCTCCCTATTTGGGGGAAGGGGTGTCCCCCTGAATGCTCCCCCATTTAGATATGGGGGGGGTTCTTGGCTTGGGGGAGCCCTTGGGGGAGAATCTGAATCCAGAATCCAAGACTCTTCCCTATTGGGGGGGGGGGTCCCGCTGCTCGGTCCCCCATTAGTATAGATATGGGGAGGGGGTCTTGGTTGGGGAGTCCTGGGTGGAGGAGAATCTTAACCCAGAATTTGAGTGTGTTCCCTGGGGGGGTCCCCCTGCCTGCTCCCCCATTCGTTTAGATATATTGGGGGGTTCATGGAGGGAGAGAATCAACCCAGAATCTAAGAGTCTTCCCTATTGGGGGGGTTGTCCCCCTGCCTGCTCCCCCATTCGTTTAGATATATTGGGGGGTTTATGGAGGGAGAGAATCAACCCAGAATCTAAGAGTCTTCCCTATTGGGGGGGTTGTCCCCCTGCCTGCTCCCCCATTAGTTTAGATATATTGGGGGAGGGGGGGTCCCTTGGTGAGGGAGAATCTAAAGCCAGAATCTGAGGGTCTTCCCTATTGGTGGGGTTCCCCGCCTGCTCTCCCATTAACTTAGATATAAGGGGGGGGGGGTTTGGTTTGGGGGGGGGGCCCTGGGGCCCCCCCCCCCCATCAGACTTTCTTGCAACAGGGGGGGTCCCCCCCCCCCCCCCTCTTGTTGGGGGGGGGATCCTCCCTCCCCAGCCCGGCCTGCCAAGGACCCCCCACCCCCCCACCCCATTCTGGTGGGGGGAGGGGCGAATGTAGCGCAGCTAGAGGGCGCCAGGTTGGGGAAGGAGCACCGAAATGGGGGAGGGGAGGGGAGTCGAGGGAAGGCCCACCCCAAAGGAGCCTCGCTTCAATGGGCGGGGGGGGGGGGGGTTGGCGGGGGGCGCCGCCCCCCTCCAGGGGGCCCCCCCCCCCCCTTCCCCCCCCCCCCCCCCCCCCCCCCCCCCCGCTTCTCGGACTGTTCCCGCCTCGCCGTTACCTGAGCAGCCGCCGGGCGCCCCGCCGTCCACCCGCCTCACCGGCCTCACACAGACAATATGGCGGCGGCACAAGGCTCGGCCGCCACCGCAGGGCCCAAAGCGAGGCTGGCCGGAAGCGGAAGCTGCTCGCTTCGGTCCTCCGCCTTTCCTCGCGCCCCCCCCTGGCCTCTCTTGCCCTCGTGCCTCTATGCCCCTCGCCTTCCGCGCGAATGCTGGGAGATGGAGTTGGTTGAGAGGCAGGGCCTGCCTTATCCCCCTCTCCCCCCAATTTCTCTCTCTCTCTCTCTCTCTCTCTCTCTTTCTCTTTTCTTCTCTGTCTCTCTCTGTGTCTCTCAGTTCCTTTCTTTCCCTTTCTATGTGTCTCTCAATTTCTTTCTTTCTCAATTTCTCTGTCTCTTTCAATTTCTTTCTCTCCCTTTCTCTCTCTCTTTCTCTCTTGCAATTTCTCCTCTCCCTCCCTCCCTCCCTCTCTCTTATTCTCCTTCTCCCTTCCTCCCTCCTATCCACAGGCTTCATCTCATGGCATCGGGACAGTCTGGCTGGGAACGATGGGGATGACTTTCTTTGAAGACATTTCACTTCTCATCCAAGAAGCTTCTTCGGTTCTTCAGTTTTCTGGTTGTTGTTCTTTGCACAGTCAGCCAGATGTTCAGACTGGATTTTGCATTGTTGTTGTTGTTGTTATGACAGTGTACACAGCAAGCAAGATAACTATGCTGGGTTTCATATCACAAATCACTAGTCCAACACTTTCCAAGCGTTTAGGACTGGGTGCGAGCAGATCCCAGTAAGGTGGCCTTCTGCAGCTGACCAATGGGGATTTTGTCAGTGCTAATTGTTTTCAAATGCTTGCCTAGGTCTTTAGGCACAGCACCCAGTGTGCCCAGTATCACTGGAACCACCTGCACTGGTTTATGCCAGAGTCTCTTTATGCAGTTCGATTCTCAAGTCCTGATATCTGGTGATTTTTTTCAAGTTGTTTCTCGTGGATTCTGCTGTCACCGGGTATGGCGATGCCGACGATCCACACTTTTTTCTTCTCCACAATTGTGAGACCCGGGGTGCTGTGTTCCAAAACTTTTGTCAGTCTGTATTCGGAAGTCCCACAGTAGTTTTGCATGCTCATTTTCGACCACTTTTTCAGGCTTATGATCCCACCAGTTCTTTGCTACAGGCAGATGGTAGTTGTGACACAAGTTCCAGTGGACCGTCTGAGCGACTGTGTTGTGACGTTTGTAGTCAGTCTCAGCTATTGTCTTGCAACAGCTCAGCGTGTGAGCGATGGTTTCATCCACTTCTTTGCAGAGTGTGCATTTGGGGTCATCAGCAGATTTTTCTATTCTGGCTTTGATTGCATTCGTTCTGATGGCTTGTCCTTGGGCTGCAAGAATCAGGAAATTATTGTTATTGTTATTATTATTAAAATATATGCCGCTTTATTCCCAACACTTATGGGACTTTTATTATCTGTTTTAATTATTCATTGAACAAATTTATATAGAGATAGCATTTGTTTAGTGACCATTACACCGGCACTGAAAAAATGACCGTTTCACACTTATGACTGCTGCAACATCCCCACGGTCACATGATCAAAATTCAGAGGGTTGGCAGCTCTCATTTATGACGGTTGCAGTTTCCTGTGGTCACATGATCCCCCCCATAGCCAGCAAAGTGGATGGAGGGGATGAAAGTCACTTAACAACCTGTTACTAATTTCACCACAGCAGTGATTCACTTAACAACATTGGCAAGAAAGGTCGTAAAATGTGCAAAACTCCCTTAACAACTATCTTGCTTAGCAACAGAAACATTTTGGGCTCCATTGTGTGTGGCCATAAGTTGAGGACGACCTGTATAAACAACAAAAGCTTACAAGAGTGAGATGGGTGGAAATGAAATGCAATACACATGCAAACAGACACTCTTTGCCTGGACAAACCTCTGAATTTTTCTGGGCAAGATTCCCGAAGTGGTTTGGCCATTATCTCCTTCTAGGACCGAAAGAGCCTAAAATCACAAAAAGGAAGCAGGGTAGCATTTGCAAATGACCTCGACTATGTGTCAGAATGGTCAAACAAATGGCAACTTCAAATTTCAACAAACAAATGCTCTGTCTTACATATTGGTAAAAAAAATCAGAAAATAAAAGCTGAATGGTCAAGACCTTGTTGGTGATCCAAACTCTGTCAAGGACCTTGGAGTACTCATCTCTAATGATCTAAGTGCTAGAGCCCACTGTAACTACACAGCCAAAAAGGCCTTAAGAGTTGTTAACCTAATCCTGCGTAGCTTTTTCTCTGGTAATATCACACTACTAACTAGCGCATACAAAACATTTGCTAGACCAATACTTGAATACAGCTCATCAGCCTGGAACCCGCATTACGTATCTTATATTAGCACAGTTGAGAAAGTCCAGAAATATTTCACAAGAAGAGTTCTCCACTCCTCTACTTGTTGCAGAATACCTTATGCCACCAGACTCGAAATTCTAGACCTAGACAAACTAGAACTACGCCGCCTTCGGTCCGATCTAAGTATAGTATATAAAATCATACATTGCAATGTCCTACCTGTCAATGAATACTTCAGCTTCAACCACAACAACACAAGAGCAAACAATAGATACAAACTCAAGGGTAATCGCACCAAACTGGATTACAGGAAATACGACTTCAGCAACCGAGTGGTCAATGTCTGGAATACTCTACCTGACTCTGTGGTTTCTTCCCCAAACCCCCAAAACTTTAACTTTAGACTGTCTACTATTGACCTCACCCCCCTGCTAAGAGGTCTGTAGGGGGCCTGCATAAGTGCACCAACGTGCCTACCGTCCCTGTCCTATTGTTTCTTTTTTAATTCATATCCATTTCATGTATTTATAACCATGTTTATATTTATACCTGTTATCTTATACTTGCTTAACAAATAAATAAATAAATCACCATTTCCCACTAGAGGGCATTTTAACTCTACCCATGCTTCTTAGCCATGCTGCCTTCTCAGCCAATGCTAATAAAACGCTACAACGCATGTAGTGCGGATTTATACAATGCAGACTTAATTCCTGGTAGTGCTAAACAAAAAGTGCTGTGTTATAAAATGCATCAATAAAGGAGAATAAATAGATAAATAGATAAAATGCATGCACTTCAAACTGAACCCAAAGCACATTTCTGTTGGAAAAACACACTCTGCGCTCTACAATCAACGCAGAGAACAGTAGCAAAGATGATTAGGAGACTGGAGGTGAAAGCATACAAAAAACAGTTGCTGGAATTGGGTATGTCTAGTTTCATGAAAAGAAGGACTAGCAGGGACATGATAGCAGTCTTCCAATATTTGTGGGGCTGCCCCAAAGAAGAAGGGAGTCAAGCTAATCTTCAAAGCACTTGAAGGCAGGGCAAGAAGCAACGGGTGAAAACCAATCAAGGAAAAGTCAAGAAAAGAAGCAATGGATGGAAACGAATCATGGAGAGAAGCAACCTGGAATTAAGGAGAAATGTCCTGACAGTGAGAACAATTAACCAGTGGAACTGCTTGCCTCCAGAAGTTGTGGATTCTCCATTACTGGGAGTTTGAAGAGATTCTCCGTCATCTAGGTCATGGTTGTCCTAATGGTGCTTTTTTCAAGAGGCAACTGAACTTTCTGGTTTTTCTTTGAAGACGTTTCACTTAGATACAGGTACAGATTAACAGAGATGGAATGGACCTTGTAGGTCATCTAGTCCAACCCCCCCACCCAAGCAGGATACCGTATACCATTTCTGACAGAAGGCAGTCCAGCCTCTTCTTGAAAGCCTCCAGTGATGAAACTTCCACAACTTCTGAAGCAACTTCTATTCCATTCAATGATGGTTCTCACTGTCAGAAAATTCCTCCTTATTTCCAGGTTGAATCTCTCTCCTTGTTCAGTTTCCATCCATTATTCCTTGTCTGGCCTTTAGGTGCTTTGGAAAATAGCCTGACCCCCTCCTCTCTGTGCAGCCCCTCAAACATTGGAGCACTGCTATCCTGTCTCCCCTGGTTCTTCTCTTCTCTAGACTAGCCAGGCCCAATTCCTGCAACAAACTTCTTGAGAAGTGAAACATCTTCAAAGAAAAACCAGAAAGTCCAGTTGCTTCTTGAAAAAAAAAAGCAGCTTTGCTTTGGGTAATTGATAAAAATTTACCAAAACAGAGCTTTGGGCTGTTTCTATATGTAGTGATGATATATAGTGCCAGGACTCTTTAGGCAAATATGCTATGTTTCATTATTTTGTTTAAACAAAATAAAAATAAAAACCATAAAAGAAACATGTCAATAAAAAAATAATGATTACAAATAATAAATGAGTAAATATATATTTACTTATTTATTATTTGTAATCATTAATAG